ATCCAATAAAATACTTATCATCGCATGTGATGAAAATTTTATAAAATCATACTTCTCATCCAATAAAATACTTATCATCGCATGTGATGAAAATTTTATAAAATCATACTTCTCATCCAATAAAATACTTATCATCGCATGTGATGAAAATTTTATAAAATCATACTTCTAATCCAATAAAATACTTATCATCGCATGTGATGAAAATTTTATAAAATCATACTTCTAATCCAATAAAATACTTATCAATGAAAATTTGTTATCTTGCACGTTTAAACATCATACTCAAGCTTGATCAAATCAACGTTTATACCTGGCTGTTATCTTGTAAGGTATCCTACTTAATAAAATCAATGTTCCTACCTGGTCCTGTATGTTTGAGTGTAAAGTTCTCATCCTCAAACTTGCGACCATAGATGGATCTTCCCCCTGTTCCATTGTGATCGGTGAAATCTCCCCCTTGACACATCTAATAATACTTGTTATGGAGAATGAAACAGTAAGGAAGAAACTTATTAAATCATTCTGGATTTGTCCATTTCCAACTACATACACAGTTATTCTTCATCATATTTAATAAATTAATTGTTTTATATGGATTAAGATAGAGAACCTCCTCTCTTGAAAAAGAAAATTTAAGATATTTTATATTTACCTCAGTTCACTGATCACTTGAAGTTGACCTTACTACTGAGATAGAGAACCTCCTCTCTTGAAAAAGAACATTTAAGATATTTTATATTTACCTCAGTTCACTGATCACTTGAAGTTGATTATTGTTTTCTTGTACATTATGTCCTACACTGAGGCCACAGTTGTCATTATTGTTTTCTTGTACGTTATGTCCTACACTGAGGCCACAGTTGTCATTATTGTTTACTTACTCATTATGTCCTACACTGAGGCCACAGTTGTCATTATTGTTTTTTTACACATTATGTCTTACACTGAGGCCACAGTTGTCATGTACTAGAAACGTTTTAAAATTTTATTCTCTAGAAATTATTAGAATCCTCTATTCTGGAGAACTCACTGATTTTCTCGTTTCACAGAGAATATACAAGCCAGCCCACAACTTGCACAAAATACAAGTCATCTATATGACCATAGTCAAGGTGACTGTAATGGCCAACACAAAACTAACAAGGAAATAGCTAGCACTAGCTGCAGGGCTCCATAACACATTGTTATATGCATGCATGCTCATGAAATATGTCATACTTAAGTAAGAATATGATCATTAATAATTATTTGAGGATCAAAATTAAGATATTATAATGCAAAATGAATAATAGATGTAGCATTAAATAGAAAAGTTAAATAATCTATAAGTTTCAATGCTTATACTCTATCAAAGCAGGACCACTAAAATTGATTTTTCTAAGAACATTTTTTCTTTTTTCATCTCAGGCTGCAAGGCCCTAGGCAGTCGCCTAACTTGTCTATAGGTAGATTCAGTCCTGGTTTTGTCTCTCACTGAAGTCAACAGATATTAAGATATATTCAGTAACTAATTTAGTGTTAGTGTAGAATTTGTATAAATTAATTAATTAATTAAGTTTCACCTGTAAATGGGTAAAGAAATGCAAAACTCCATTCTTGTTTTTTTATTATTGATAAAAAAAATTATATTTTGTATATGCAACCAATTTTAACTTATTTTATGTTTATTATCTTGGTGATTTTTCTATTGATACATTTTTTTTCCCCCACTGAAGCAGGTATGTAACCTAACCAAAAACACATAAATATCACATGATCAATAACGACTTGATATCAGCCTACTGTATAATACTGTCCTCGTGCTTGCTTATTATTGTTACTTGTAAAGAAATATTTCGGTAGCTTTTGAAAAGAAAAGTATAATGATTCACCATTAGATACAAGAAGAATGTCTAAGAAACAATAGAAAGTCAAGTTATCTGGGAAATTTAAAGATACAATATTCAGCCTTCGATTAAAGCATCACCAAATCACTCCTTAACATTTACAAAATGTTAAACTTCGGTTATGAGTAATCAACATCATTTTAAAGCTTAGCTCCTCCCCTGTATTAAACATTTTAGAAGTTAGTTGCCCCTGAGGAAAACCAACCTTTCAAATCTCCTCATCCCTAGCCTTTTTTTTTAACCTATTAAGGTTTTAGTTGAATGATGTGTTTACGTTTCCTTCATATAAGATTTGTTTTTCTCTAGAAAACTTCCGTTGCTTGTGCACACATGAGAAAGGGTTTGGTTTTAAGGGAAGTTCCTTCCATCGAGTCATTTCTGGCTTTGTATCCTTCTGAAGCATGTTTTAGTTTCATACATGTTCCTTTGAAATCTGTAAAGTTTTATTTTGTAGAAGGTATAACAAAAGTAGTGCCTCATAGTTACTGTAAAATAACCATCTTTACAACATCATTTGACTTATTTAGATTTATGATAGCTTGACTACTGATAAATCTGTGGGTGGAAAAAGATTATTTCGTGATCTGTCTTGCAAAAGTTGTGTTTATTCATTACTTTTGTATGAAGCACTGTCTAACTCGCACGTCACAGTAGTAAGTTACTGAGGCCACAGTTGTCAACAATAATGACAATTGTGGCCTCAGTGTAGGACATAATGTACAAGTAAACAATAATGACAACTGTGGCCTCAGTGTAAGACATAATGTACAAGTAAACAATAATGACAACTGTGGCCTCAGTGTAGGACATAATGAGTAAGTAAACAATAATGACAACTGTGGCCTCAGTGTAGGACATAATGTACAAGAAAACAATAATGACAACTGTGGCTTCAGTGTAGGACATAATGTGTAAGTAAACAATAATGACAACTGTGGCCTCAGTGTAGGACATAATGTGTAAGTAAACAATAATGACAACTGTGG